TCGATTTACTGAAAAGTCAGTCTAAAAAACAAAAAATTAATATCGATGCATTTATATTGTAATGTGTTATGAATACAGGAGATCTATTAATGCGCATAGTCGATGTCATCCCTTGTATTTATAAATAGCAGTGAGATATCAAAACATATATGAGCTTATTTGTTTTTTTCTGTTTTAATCCAACGATTACACTGTTAACTATATAATTCTATGGGATAAATATACATGAACTGAACTCAAGTTCGATTGATTAAATATTTACCATATAAATATTTCCCAACCAATCGTGAATACAGAAATAAGAGAAGTAAAAACATCTTTCATCCTGCAGTCACATCATTATATTTTTTATGAGTAGAATCTTTACCACGGATATTAGTCATTTATCGTGTGCTTTAATATTAACAATATAACTGTATCGAGGTCTTTTATATATAATTTGACAAAAAATTCATAGTTCTTGGTAAAGAATTATTCTTTTTTGTTTGTAAAGAATGATCAAAATTAGTTTTAATATGTGTTGTCAAGATCGGTATGAATAATTAAAAATGAGAGATAATGACTGGCAAAGGAATATATTTGAGTCTACTCATGCAAGGAGAGATTTAAAACATTCAATCATAACGGGTCACCCATGAATATCTCGAATATGCATATATTAGCTGCTTTCGTTTAGGTCTGAGAAAAAAAAACACTAACTTTTCAGATGTAGACTCTATTCTGCTAATATGTATATCATAAAGTTTTTCTTTTTTTTCCACAGTCCCCTAAAATTATCATTTCATTCATAGAAAACAATTGTAGAAAATCAACAAGATTCGTTTTTTTCAAGCTAGCTCTCTGTCAAAAATAGTAGTATTATATTTGTTGTCTATCTCAGTATTCACTTCATTAAAGTTTCTTTTTTTCGACAATTCACTAATAATTATCAGGTTTATATGGAGCAGTTCAATCAAAAAAGCAAATGCACAAAGTAAAAATATTTATGATCCTCGATGAAAAACTGTTGAAAATATAAAGTTTCATCGTATCAGCTGCAACATATGAAGGTCTGTTCATTACATCTCCAACGAGGATGATTGCCAAAATCGAAATACGTTATTGCAACTGATATCT